AAGCCACGCACGGCTAGGCGTGGGAGGGAGTAGAGACTCCCCCGTTAGCTCAGGTCCGTGGTGTCAGAAATCGAGGAAAGGATACTCTCTGGTGACCATAAAACTGGAAGACTTCATCGGTGCGCCCTCTTTTCTGAGGGCGATCAGGGAGTGGGGGGAAGGAACTAGCCATAAGAAAAGGTTTCTTTTCGGCAGCGGTGCCAGCCACCCACCATGGAGTCCTACAAGGGGACGCTGCAGAGTCTGGAAGCACAGGCCCTGCAGACGCCAGCTGTACACCACCACTATAACCGAATATGGTGTATCCAAGGTAGGATAGCCACACAGGGTTAACCCTTGCCGCCAGGAAACACGGAAGTCAACGGAAGAGAGTAGAGGACAGGAAAGATTTAAAGTGAGAGAAAAGACGAAGATGTGAGGGGGAGACAGGAAAAGGCGACTGCCGATTTCCCCTGGGTGGGTCAGCCCAGGGGTGCCGTCTACGTGAAGCCGGGGCCAAAGGGGTGTGCTGCCTCTGCCGGGGGGGCCTTAAAGGTCCAATCACCCAGCGTCGGCTCAACCCCCAGGATCCCCTTTTCCCCAGACACGGCAAAGCCACGCACGGCTAGGCGTGGGAGGGGGTCAAAACTCCCCCGTTAGCTCGGGTCCGTGGTGTCGCTACACACCAAACGCCTACTTGCGCAGGCGCCCCTGCGGGGAGGTGGATATAACAGAAAAATATCAAAGTTGATTCGAAAAATGTTTGGGAAAAAAACAAATGTTTTTTTCTGTCTTGCACAACAGCAGACACCGCATGTTGCCTCACCAACTATTAAATTCTGCATTTAGAAGACAGTAAAATCTTGGTAGAACGAGCCCCACATTAATGAACTTTTCAGATTAACGAACTTTTAAAAAATCCCACACCGACTGCAAATGGTTTTAATGTAAAATTATTTCACTACCATGTACTTCAGAATACCAAACTTTTCAGAATTACGAGTGTTAATTTAGTTTCACGTTATATTAACAATGCCTCAGTACTACGAACTTATCTTCTGAAATCCCTCGCGAACACCGGAGCGGTACGCAAGCAGACGACAAAGCGAACGGACGCCTTGCTGGCGTGTAGCGATGTGGAAGCAAAAAAAAACATGAAAAGGCAACTTTCTTTCTTTTTGTTGAAACGCCGACGCTGCAGGTTTTCAAGCGAGCGCAGAGTGGGAGTTGCAGAGCAGGAAGCATGAGCGCGGAAAACCTGAGACAGCAAGAGAGCAGAAAACGAAATTCGAGGAATTTTCTTTTCAGCACTTTTTTCTTCAAGAAAGCCATAAGTCCGTGATGCTTTGGGTTTTTCCTCGGAGGCCTTGTTTTTTCAGTCATGTTCATCTCTTTTCAGTGATTACTTATCGGGTTCCATAAGCAAGTCGGTGGTCGCGCTGTGGTGATACAACAAATGAGTTCATCTCTGCTTGATATAAAGAAGCGGAAGCAGTTTTCGCTAAGTTAGACAATGATTATTCTTCAGCAACTGGAAGGCAAAAAGCAGGCTGTTGTGACCAAAGAGCCGAATCGCACCACAAGAATGTGCATTCCAACCGTCATGAATATCTCCCCTAGGGGGTTTGACGGAGAAGGAGTTGTGGCAGTGTCACACGGCAATGACAACGTTGTAACAGTTGCCGCGAGGGGGCTCTGCTGGCACTGTTTGATTTTCGGAAAAGTATACTAATTTTATCTTCATTGATTTTTTGTGAATCTTCGTTATGCAGTTTCTACAAAAAATCACTAAGTAGGTATACGACTAACAAACCATTAAAAATAATTTCAAATAAAAATGCATTTGCTAAATTTAGCGATGCTGCTAATGACGCTGGCCACATTGTGTTTTTAGTTGTTTTGTTGCCTGTGTACATGCCCGGTACAAAAGTTCATAGGCTTCCTTGCCTCGTGAGCGCACATTTTGTGTTCTTCAGCCATGAGTGACACAGCGGACGACTTGAAGAAGTGGTACGATATTGCGCTGGTAATGACGTTGATCGGCTCCATGGATATTGAGATTGAGGCTGCTAGAACCAGTGTGCATGCTATAAGGTACCGTCTCGTCGCGAACAGCCTGACGCTGAATGCGATGGCGTTGTCATCTAGGCGTGCGTCAAGGCGAGTTTGGGCATATCCAAGATTGTCTCGCTGGTTTGAAGACACGCTTCAGGGTTTCACGTACTATGTTCAAATTCAGGGTTTCACGTACTATGTTTAATTATCTCGTAGACGTATGTACGCCAGTAATGCAACGACAAACTACAAACATGCGGGAAGCCGTGTCTGTGTAAAAAAGGGTCCCTGTTGCTCTCTACAAGCTCTGTTCCTCTGCTGAAGATAGAACAGTCACCAATTTGTTTGACCTGGGCAGGTCGACGGTGAACACAATATATAGAGAATTTTGTGACAGCTGTGGAAGCCCTAGAAGACCAGTGGGTCAGGATGCTTGCAGCTGATGAAATGACCCACCACATACGGGAATTTTATGCTGTCACTGGCTTCCCTCAGGCAGTTGGAGCACTGGATGGCTGTCAGTTCCCTGTCTCGCCTCCCAAAGAAAATGCCATCGACTACTACAATTAGAAGGGCTGGTAACTGCGTACAACTTATATCAAAGTTGAAAGCTGGGCTGCTTGATACATTATTGAATACGAAAAATTGGTGAACACACAATGTACATGGAAATATCAGCCCATGGCTATAAACAGTTAAACTCATAAATGAAATAAATTTGAATTTATTATTTAAAGCATCACTTGATAAAGAATCATATCAAAAGTATGATGCCTGTTTTGGATAAGTTTTAGTACACACTAAACATTATTCCACAAGTAAGTTACAATCTATATTACGGTGTCTTTCATTCCAGCACACAGCTCAAGAACAGTTTTGTTCCCGCATGGGCACATGATGATGATGAGTAGTTTTTAGTGGCGCAAGGGCCAATTCGCCATTTGCGGAAAAGCGAGCTCCACCTGCCGTCTAAACAGGGAAGCAGCGCTCGCGCTTTTGGTTGGAAAGGCGTTCGTGAACTAACATGTGCTAGGCAGCGTTCGGCGGCTCGCGTGCCCTTGTTTTATCGATTTAGTGTTGTTTCTTTGCCGGAAACGTGCGCTGCTTACGGAAACAACATGATAGAAAAAGAAAACATCCCGTTTGTGTTTGTGGAAACGGGATGGAGCGAGGATTTTTCGCGTTGCAGCCTGAGCAACGACGATGTGTGGCGGTACCTACACTTCGCTACTTCGACCGTTCACCAGGCTCATCGCGGCTGGTCCTTCAAGGAAGAAGGATACGTCAAACACTTGAAGTTGAACCTCCAAACATCTGATGACGAACTAGGTCTGGTGAGAGCGGCGTGCGCACCATCCATGAAGTCCGGCGTGTATGTAACAACGGCATGGTTCGTCGTGGCTACCGGTCGCATCGTTGGAGCGCACTGCGACTGTGTTGCTGGGCGAGATATTTTGATTTTACTAGCGTCTGTAGTGCAAATCACCGATTGTCGAAAATGTGTGTAAACAAATGTTGCGCCTATGCGCTTGCGAGTGTAATGGGAGCATGCAGTTCCCTTATCGGAACATTACGTTCTCTTCATAGGACAGGAGTTTACCCTAGTGCTTATACCTGCTGCAGCTCCCGCTTTTGTGATTATAAACGACCCGTGCTACTATATCAATCATGGTTTGCGCTTATACATCGAAGCGCAGCCTCGCGCACTAATGGCAGCTTTTTTTGCAAACCGTTACAATGTATGGATATACGCGAGACTGTGTGCTGCCGTGGTACACATTGTTGCATTCACAAGATCACGTCTATCGAGTACTTTACCTCATTGCGGTGCTACCTAAAAAGCTCGATGTTGCAAGACGCGGGCTTAGCGTCTGTAAATACATGTTCGAGGTTGTCCGTTGATTTTGTGAACAGTTTTTTTTTTCTTTCAGACTTAGTGAAACCTGCCAACATGTAGCAGGCCTGCTGTTTAGTGCTGCCGCCAGAGCTGAACATGCACCGTCCTGCACGGACGTACCCTGCAAGTGGATAGTCCCTGCTGAAGGTATTACTCCATCAATGCATGTCCTTAACGATCCTGTGTTGCCCATCTTGCCACTAAGAACTTCGTGTTTCAGCTAAGTATATACCTACAAAGTACCCTGTGCAAGCATATTATGATTGCGATATACTTTAATGACACAAAAGCAGCTCAGCCATACAGTGCCGAGCACAAAGCATATTGCATGACACAGTGCAGGTCAAATACGAGTTCGAAGAGTAGTAGGTTTTAGCATGTTAGTTAATCATGGTTGCAGAGAATACGTAGCGCAGTGTAAACGCAGGACAGTGCTTGTGCTGGTACTACCCGTCCCGTGTATTTCATACTACAATGGAGACCGCTTTCAGAAACCTTTTGAACAGCCGGGAATCCAAGCATAATAAATGGTTGGAGACGCAACTTGCACTTCAGGATTCGTGTAAGCAGTGGACGTTCAAACCAGTAAATTACCGCTATTGTGAACATGACGTTGCGTTCACATACCATTATGTGTCATTCACAAAATATACATAAACAAGCTCGCAGCGTTGCATTTTCATGACTGCTTGCTCAGTCATGCCAGTTTATTAATAAACAGTGTTACATCATTTACACACCACAAAGCACAGTACACGAACAAACACACTTCCTCATGTGTTGAACAGCCATGCTTGTGCACGTGCATATGCTCCCTTTCTCAACACAAATGTACTTATCACTCACATGTTTGCTCTCTTTAGCAGCATAACTAAAGTACCCTATTTTCTGTTTACTTGCAGCAAAGAAACCAGTGGCAAGAAAGCCTCTGGGTGAAATCAGATTCCAAAGGTATTCCATAAACAAGCCTACACGTGGGAAACGGAAGCGCGATTATGACCCCTGTGCTGATGGCCCACTTCCTAGTCCACATGCCATTCAGTCACTGAGGGATAAGCTGGCAACCACCTGTCCCGATCTGCATGCTCTGCGATACATGTGCCACGATAAAGCCAAGCCAAAGCCACCATGCAACATAAAGAAGCCCATAGAGGACAGCGATGACCTCTGGAGCGAGGCTGCAGCAACTGAGGTACAATCGTACATGAAAACAATGAAGCCACTAAGCCAGACAGAGAGGGATCTGATATGCCACCAAACAGTCGGCCAAGCATCTAACAAGAAGTGGCATGCAGAACGGGTTGGACGGCTAACAGCATCGATGTTTAAAAGGATCTGCCGGTGTACAAAACCGGACAGTTTGCTAAAGGCACTACTGTACCCTTGGGACAGAGCCACTTCCGAAGCAATCCTATATGGCAGACAGCACGAAGCAGATGCCGTAGCTGCTTATGTGAAACTGTTGCAGGCCAGAGACTCGAGCGTGGCAGTCCGGGAAACTGGACTTCACGTCCACTGCCAGTACCCCTTCTTAGCTGCTTCACCAGACAGAATTGTTGTTGTAGATGGAAAAGAAGGCCTACTAGAAGTGAAATGCCCTTTTTCAAAAAAAGGGATAACGTGTGAGGACGCCTGCAGTGACAGAAACTTCTGCTGCAGACTCACCGAAGAAGGTGCGGAGCTGAAGCGGGACCACGCCTATTTCCATCAGGTGCAAGGCCAGATGGCAGTAACGGGCCATAACTGGTGCGATTTTGTCATATAGACTGAGGGAAACGCACCAGGAGACCCCCCACATCTCCATGTTGAAAGGATAGAGTTCTGCGAAAAGTTCTGGGCTCAGGAAGTACTGCCAGCACTCTTGCATTTCACTAAGCATGCACTTGTACCCGAAATCTTGACACGGCGTGTCAAAAGGCTTAGGCGGCTTTACACGTCTGAAACATATGTGTCTTTCAAAAAATTCAAGGCTGGATTTTATGTCTGCACGCGTCTAGATGGCCTAAGCATCAAAATAAAAAAATTGAAGTAAGACGCCTCACTTTATTTATAATCGCTCTCTTCTGGGGAGAAACAGTCTCATGCTTTTTTTTTTTCAGTTAACTTCTCAAGGAGTGCACTGCAAAACTCTGAAATTCATGGCAATCGTGGCATAATTATGTATAGACTGTTCAGCTATACTTGTGAAACCAATGCATGGCTCTTATAGTCTGAAAGTAACTAAGTAACAAAGGCTTATTGTGACTTATGTAAGATAGGACAGTGTAACACAGGCAAACAACCTGTTTCGTTATTTGTGACTTAGAGTAAGGCAAATGGGGCTTGACGTGGCTTCTGAAAGCTGTCGTGGAAAGCGCGAGATAAATTCCAACTATATGAGGCTTCAGTAGCGTGGGTCTATTCAGCACAAAGGTGAATATAGCTACTGTGATATAACAAGACTGATTGAAAAATGTTTCATAGTTACATTTATTGGTTACAGCAAGTTTGGTAAAACATTCAAAATGGCACATCATTCCAAAAACAGCTGACTTCTGTTACTGCCTTGGCTGCAGCCACCAAATCATTTCCTAACTCTAGCCAGCTCAGGCCAATTTCAAACTTGGCTTCCTTTTGAAAACTATGCTCGTGCTCTTGCAAATCCTAATCTACCTCTCGAATCAAAGGCAGCCTGTAGTTGCTCAAGAGGCAACAAACTTCAAAAACCTGCTCAGCAATGTCTATCATGGCGATAGGAAAGGGCCTATCCAAAATATGAAAGCTTTTAGCTCTTGCAATGGCTCTTTCAACGTGCACCCTTGCAGAAGCGATGCGCCTGGTTTCGTCAACTTTATTTGCAGGCATCTGCTTTTGATGATGATATATGGTGTTTTTGGCGCAAGGGCCATTTGTTGGCCAAAGAGCGCCATTTCATCTTACTAAAGATATGGACAATGATTGTGATAAGCGGCTGTATAAGGGCCATAAATTCCTCGCGATAAGGCGGGTAAGAACATGCAAGTAATAAAATGATGACTATGCCGTGAAAGATGTGTATGGTGTGAATGATGACAAAAGTTGGTGATAATAAGACGATGGTGGATATGTATGGCATTAGCACAAGTGCCTCACTCGTTCATACCCTTGCGTCCAAGGGCCGTGAGGCAAGTGCTTTCTTGTGTAACCTCCGCAGAAAAAACCTCTCTAGAGAGGTCGTGCTACGGAATGCCCGGGTATATGATATGAAAATTATGAATTTCTTTTAAAAACGCTAACAATGACTTATGACTAAAAAGCGGTTCCCTACCGACGAACATTGCAGGGTGTAAAGGTATATGCTGTCGGTAGGGCAATAGAAAATGTCGTTTTTAGATGCGGAGCATCTTATACTCGCGCCTTGTAGTGCGCCGTCCGCACCGCTTCTCAAACATTCGACAGCTGACGCGCGCGCATGCGCCGTCGCGCCGTCGCCCACTCTTCCACCATCTGTGCATCCCTTCCTCCTCTACACACCGCGCGCGCTTCACTCCTCCACCATCTGTGCACCCTTCCTCCTCTACACACCGCGTTCGACATCTACAATTCTCCTGATTCTCCAGTGGACGCGCATGTGGCGTCGCGCTTCGAGAACATTCAACAGCTGACAGTGCATGCGCCGTCGTGCTGTATATATACTCAAGGTCGGCGCTCGCTCGCTCAGTTGCCGCTCGTCGGTTGGTTTGTACGACGCGTCGACGTCCAAGGTCGCGGTGAAATGAATTCCAACGAATCCACAAACACAATGATCGACGTCCCTTCGACCAGCGCCGCCCTTTCGCATACGTGTGTACGTGTTCACTCATTTAACACCCCCTCCTACAACCACGTTAACCAATTTAGCCATCAACCCAAGTAAGTCGCAATTTAACACCCCATTTCACAACCACGTTAACCAATTTAGCCATCGACCCAAGTAAGTCGCACTTTAACACCCCGTTAACCAATTATATGGTCCGCATCCTCCTCAGTGTTCCCCCGAGGGAAGCTGCGGGCAATTTTTTTTAGTTTCTAAGTGTTTGCACTGGATTAACATGTGAAGGACTGTCAATGCTTCACCACATCTGTCACACAATGGTGGATCGCCACCAGACAAAAGATATGTGTGTGTCGTGTATGTGTGTCCTATCCTGAGTCTCGTTAGCATTACCTCTGTATGACGCGATTTCGATACGGGCAGCCATTGACCAAGGTGTGGCTTAATAACGTGTAGTTTGTTTTGTGTGTGTGTGTCCCACTTGCTCTGCCAGTATACCCTGAGGTTTCGTTTGAGAGACGGCTTAAGATCAAGGGCCGGGATTGATATGGGTGTAGGGGCAGTGCTTTTGTGGACGGATATAGCGAGCTGATCTGCCCTCACGTTGCCTTGAATCTCACGGTGCCCTGGCACCCAGCACTCTACAACATGTTGGTTGAGTGTGTAGAGTGTGCATAAAATGGAGTAAAGTGAAACGAGGACAGGGTTTTTTTGTTTTTTAAGACTGTGCAGAGTTGTTACCACACTGGGGGAGTCTGTATAAATTACTGCTTTTTGTATTTGTGATTGTTTGATGTGTTTAGCTGCCACAAGTATCCCGTAAGCTTCCGCTGTGACGATATTTGTGCCTGGATGTAGAGGGCCAGCATCTGAAAAGGAAGGGCCAACAGCAGCGTAGGACACAGAGGAGTTATTCTTGGAGGCATCTGTAAAAAACTCAGGACGTGTGTATTTGTGTTGAAGTTCCAAGAAGTATGTTCGAATATGGGCAATAGGCGCATGTTTAGTAACTTCTAGGAAAGACACATCACAATCTATAGTCTGCCACTGCCACGGTGGCGGGTATGCTACAGGAGCCATTAAACTGTGTTCGAGTGACACTCCAGTGTTCTCAGCTAGACCCTTCAGGCGAACTGAGAAGGGCTGCCTCATTGAAGGCCTGTTTTGAAAAAGAATGGAGCTCGACAAGTCATTAATAGTAGAGTAGGAGGGGTGCCTCTTGTCTGCTTTCACCTTAAGGAAATATACAAAGGACATGTAGGTTCTTTGCAGATGAAGCGACCACTCATTTGACTCAACGTAAAGGCTTTCTACGGGGCTGGTGCGAAAAGCACCCGTAGAAAGGCGGATGCCCGAATGGTGCACGGGATCCAACATCTTCAAAGCACTTTGAGTCGCAGACTGATAAACAATGGCCCCATAATCTAAACGGGTGCGAATAAGGCTTCTATACAGGTTCATGAGGCATTTCCTGTCACTACCCCACGTAGTACGTGACAACACTTTTATAACATTCAAGGCTTTTAAACATTTTGTTTTTAAATACTTTATGTGGGGTACGAAGGTCAACTTGTTGTCAAAGATTAAGCCTAAGAATTTATGCTCGGCTTTGACGGACAGACGTTGCCCGTTCAGTCGAATGCCAGGTTCAGAGTGCATGCCTCTCTTTCGAGAGAACAAGACACACGTGCTTTTTTGTGGGTTAAGTCGAAATCCGTTTTCATCTGCCCATTTGGAGAACTTGTTTAAGCCCAGCTGAACCTGCCGCTCACACATTGCCAAGTTGCATGACTTGAAGCCAAGCTGAACGTCGTCGACATATGTACAATAGAACATACTGTGGGGGATGGACAAGTGCAAAGAATTCATTTTAATAATAAAAAGTGTGCAACTAAGCACACCACCTTGTGGCACGCCTGTTTCCTGGACAAATGTTTGGGAGAGCTGACTGACCAGACGGACACGGAATGTCCGGTTTGACAGGTAACTTTCGATTATATGAAACATTCTTCCGCGCACACCAAGGTGGGACAGGTCTCTTAGAATTCCGAAACGCCATGTTGTATCATAAGCCTTTTCGATATCGAGGAACACAGAGAGAAAATATTGTTTATGGACGAAGGCGTCTCTGATCTGTGCCTCGATACGAACAAGGTGGTCTGTGGTGGATCTACTTTCTCGAAACCCGCACTGAAATGGGTCGAGCAAATTATTTGTTTCGAGAAAATGTGCAAGTCGGCAGTTTATCATTTTTTCGAAGACTTTGCACAAGCAGCTTGTAAGTGCTATAGGCCTATAACTCGAGGGTAAGGAAGGGTCCTTGCCCTCTTTCAAAATGGGAATAACAATAGCCTCTTTCCAGGAGGTAGGAATAGTGCCAGAAGACCAAATAGCATTGTACAAACAAAGTAAGGTTTTTTGGGTTTCGTTTGGTAGGTTTTTTAACATTTCATACATCACACGGTCAGAACCTGGGGCAGAAGTACTGCAGGAGTTTAGAGATGTTGGAGCTCAGCTAGACTGAAAGCTTGGTTATATGCCTCGTATCTGGTGGATTTGTGTTCCGAGTTTCTGCTTTTCTATTCTTGTTCTGTATTTTTGGAAAGTGTCAGTATAGTGGGACGAGCTGGATACCCGTTCAAAGTGTGCACCGAGGAAGTTCGCCTGATCTTCCAAGGTATCACCCTGAGTGTTTACGAGTGGGAGTGAGTGAACTTTTCTTCCTGCTACCCTACGAACCATGTTCCAGACCTTGGCCTCTTGTGTATACGAATTTATTCCTGATAAAAACTTGTGCCAACTTTCTCTTCTGGCCTGCCGACGCGTTCTCCTGCCTCGAGATTTTATTTTCTTAAAGCTCTCAAGGTTTTCCTCTGTTGGTGAGTTCCGCAGCAATCTCCATGCCCTGTTCTGTTCCTTTCGCGCATAACGACACTCCGTGTTCCACCATGGGACGTGTCGCCTGCCAGGCATTCCAGATGTTTGCGGTATGCACCTGGCTGCTGCGTCAGTTAGAAAAGCTGTGAAATACTGCACAGCTTCATCTATGTTTAACCTACATATGTCTGTCCAACTCAAACGTGTAGTGTTATGGAACTGTTCTCAGTCTGCTTTGTTTATCAGCCATTTGGGAACGTGTAGAGGACCTTCATATGTTGTTTGTGAACTCAGCACTACAGGAAAATGGTCACTACCATATAGATTATTTATGGTTTTCCATTTGAGTAGAGGTAGGAGTGAAGGTGATACGATGCTGAGGTCGATAGACGAGTAAGTTTTGTTGGCAACGTTATAGTATGTTGGCTCTTTCCTATTCAACAAACAGGCACCGGAAGAGAAGAGAAATTGTTCAATGAGACGACCTCGTGCATCAGAGCGAGAATCGCCCCACAGTCTACTATGTGCATTTAGGTCCCCAAGAAGCAAATAGGGTTCAGGCAGTTCATCTATTAAAGACTGAAATTCACGTCTTTCAAGACGGTGGTGGGGAGGTACATACAAAGAGCAGATGGTGACGAGTTTGTTTAAAAGTACCGCTCGAACAGCCACCGCCTCAAGGGATGTCTGGAGTGGTAAATGTGTACACGCTTCTCCTTGGTTAATGATAATGGCTACGCCACCGGATGACGCCACAGCATCATCTCGGTCCTTTCGGTATATGACGTAAGCACGTAAAAAATTTGTATTGGAGGATTTCAGATGTGTTTCCTGTACACACAGCACTTGAGGTGAGTGTTTGTATAAAAGCTCTTGGACGTCGTCGAGGTTTTTAAGCAGGCCTCTGACGTTCCAATGTATAATTTGTGTTTCCATATTGGAAGTAAAGTAGTGCTGTGTGTACGTTAAGGGAGTGACTTGTTTAAGCTGAAAGGTCGAGCTCAAGTAGCAGGGCTATTATCAGGCTCTGTTATGAGCTTTTTAGTTTTCTTGGCACGCTCCATAGAGCCGCGCCGCTCTTTTGGCACCAGGGGTGCCGCCGTATCCATTGCCTCCTCGGAGGCACTGGATACCCGCTCATGCGAGCTGGTTTTTCGAAGCTTGGGCCTCGCCTGGCGAGGGGAGGCCTTGAGACCCGAGAACCCTGGAGTCCCTGGTCTCTGTTCGATAGTAGGCGGAGTAGACTCAACTACTCCCGCCTTGGGGGCAGGCGCCACAGCCAATGGCTCGCTCTGCGCAGGCTGAAGGAGTGGCGAGGGCTGGTACGATACTGCCCCCTGGCGCGCCGCATCAGCATATGTGGGGCTATAAAATGGCGAGACTTTTTCTTGCTTCTTTAAATGTAATGTTTTCTTTTATTTTTAAAGTGATGATCTCTTTTTCTTTTTTCCAGAAAGAACAGGAGCGTGAGTACGCGGCATGACTACCGCCACAATTCACACAGTGTGCAGGTGCTTCGCAGTTGTCGGACGCATGGCCCACGACTCCACACAGAGCACAAGTTTTCCGGCCACGACAGCTTTGCGAGCCGTGGCCATATCTCTGACATTGGAAGCAACGGCGGGGGTTGGGAATATATATGGCCTCACAGATGTCTTTGTATACCCAGTCTGAATGGTTTCTGGCAAATCGCTCGAAGCAAAGGTCAGGACTAAGTGTTTTGTTGGTATTTCCTTTTGATCTCTTCTTATCTTAATACGCTGTACGTTTGTCACGTTCTGGCTCTTCCATCCTTCAAGAAGTTCAGCTTCGGTCAGGTCAAGCAAATCTGCGTCCGATACAACCCCGCGAGATGAGTTCATGGACCTGTGTGGCGTAATACTGATGGGTGTGTCTCCAAACGTTGTGAGGGTGTTCAGTTTATCGAACTGGTCTTTGTCACGTATTTCAAGGAGTAGATCTCCACTGGCCATTTTGGTAACCTTGTACCCGGCACCGAGAGTTTCGGTTAAGGACCTAGCCACTACGAAGGGGGATACTGTTCTGGCTTGCTTGTTAGTTTTTTCACAGTGTATAACGTGGAATCGAGGAAAGGTTTGTCTTGGCCGGATGAAAAAGTTGATATCTTCGGTGCGTACCCGCTTTGAGGAGGCACGATCGCTTAGTAAAGGGAATGCTTTGTGCATGCTAATTGTATGTTGTTCAGTAGCGTTGGCGGCCACCCACCACGGAGCCCAACGAGAGGACGCTGCAAGTTTACAGATGCTGAAACCTGCAGACGCCAGCCGTACAACGCCACTATAACCCAATGCGCCTAGACCAAGGTAGGCTATTTGCACAGGGTTAACCCTAACCGCCAGGAAGTTTGGAAGTAAACGGAAGAGAGTAGAAGACAGTACAGATAAACAGTAAGACATAAAGACGAAGATGTAGGGAGAGAGAGATAGGAAAAGGCGACTGCAGATTTCCCCTGGGTGGGTCAGCTCAGGGGTGCCGTCTACGTGAAGCCGGGGCCAAAGGGGTATGTTGCCTCTGCCGGGGGGCCTTAAAGGTCCAATCACCCAACGTCGGCTCAACTCCCAGGATCCCCTTTTCCCTGGACACGGCACAGCCACGCACGGCTAGGCGTGGGAGGGAGTAGAAACTCCCCCGTTAGCTCGGGTCCGTGGTGTCGCTACACACCAAACGCCTACTTGCGCAGGCGCCCCTGCAGGGAGGCATCTGCTTTTGGTGAGGCTCTCGGAATGGAGGCCGATAAACTGTTATACCTGCTGGCAAGTAAGGAAATGTAAAACCTTTATCAACCATTATTGCATCTCCTGGCTCCAGCTTGTCAAGAAGACCACTACTTTCCAAGTTTGCTTTATCCGAGCTAGAGCCTCCCCAGAGGCGAGACACATAAGTGATGTATCCATCTGGTGTACATCCAATAAGCGCCTTGTACGTGTTGTAATGCTTGTATGGTGAGAAGGTTTGGCGCTGTGCGCTCAATGACGAAGGCCTCTGTATTCTCACCTCTGTGGCATCGAGAACAAGACGGGTGTCGGGAAAATCAGAGAAGCACTTCGGTAGGTGGGATCTTATGTCATCTAAAGTAGGTAAGGGTGTCAAGTGCCGAAGCTCTCGTTGTAAAAAGTTAATCCATGTGGAAAAAGTGCGGCTAACTAGACTTTCTGACATCAGGAAATTCCTGGCCAGTTCTTGCCCTTGCATACCTGTCCTGAGCCGAACTAACACCATGAAAAATTCTTTGGCCAGATTGCAATTTTTTTTTGTTGCCACGAGGGTCATTATGCCGTTTTTTATCTGAGCCCCAGTACAACATTTCTCTAGCGCGTGGTGCAAAGTATTCAAGCAAAATATTGAACACTTCAACATTCGGCAATCCAGTGTAGTACATGCAGTCCTTTGGAGTGGCTAGAGTAGTCAGGGTGAGACACCTTGACATGGCTGCATCTAGCTGCACCTCTAGCTTTGCATTTTGTTTCTGCAACTCGAGGATAAACTTCTGCGAATTTCCTATTTCTTGCTCCAGGACTTCAATCTTCTTAGAAGCACAGGCTTGACAGCGGCAATCTGGCCAGATGTGCTCCTTTATACCTGCAAGTGGCACAGAAAAAGCGCTCGTCAAGCACCTTAGAGCGCCCTCTGCAAGTCAATGTTACACATATGGACATACGGACTAGAAACAAGCTCTACAATAAGCCTATAGCTGAGGAGTTTCTATCTGCAAATGCAAAAAGCAGTTGCAGCATTGGCATCATGGTACGGGGAAAAGCCGAAAGGAGCATTGCACTCTGCAAAGTGCATACAAACTCACCATTTTCGGGTTGCTGCAGCTCCATCGAGTCCTGATCAGGTACATCATCCTTTGTAGCATCCAAGCCTTCGTCAGGATTCTCTGCAAGCAATGCAACAGCATGACATCTAATTGCTTTGTATGAGTGTGTTACTGCAGAAATGGGCCACATGCAACAAGCAGCGGCAGGATTCACATCGTGGTATGGGGAAATGCTGAAAAAACATTCAACTCTGCAAAGTGCACACAAACTTACCATTTTCCAGTTGTTGCAGGTCCACCGAATTCTCATCTAGTACACCATCCTGTGCAGCACTAGTGTCCATGTTGAGATTCTCTGAAAGCAACACATCAGCTGACCATTATCCCCTATATGAATGTGTCTGCAGAATCAAGCCAGCTGAAATCTGAGCAATCACATGATGCCATGGGAAGAAACTCAAAACAGCACTTAAGTTTGCATAGTGCAAGCAAGCTCACCATTGGGAGGATCCTGCAACTCTGGCGTGTCATTAGGAGTAGCAGAAGTGGCTGTCGTATCAAGCTCCCCTGAAAGAATGGTATCGTGGTTATGCACAGGTGATTTGCTGACAATAAGCACCTAGGGTGAGATGTGCATAACAGCCACATATTGGGTGTCTAAGAAATAGTGACAATCAGGGACATGGCTGAATGGAAGAGTTGTTTGAGGGGTTCAAACCCCCGAAAATTTTCAGCTTTGCATGTGTATATATTACACGCACACATACCAACGCACACACGAGCATAAAGTATGGTTGAATCCCACCACCGAAATATGTCTGGCTACCCTACTGGTGACAAAGGCATTGCATGCGGCATTCACAATACGACTTCACAACCTAAAAACACACTGTATATGCGGGAAGCAGCGGCAAAAATGATCGAGTGGGCAATAAATCTATACAAGTGCTCTCACGGTGCCGCAGGCACGAGAAACCTCGCAAGCACTGCCTGTCACACTACACTATCCACTGCAAATCGCCTCGAAAGTGGTTGGTTTCTCGTCTGGCCTCGCCCATGATGAAAGCAGTCACAAAATACCAGACGGGAGCGATGCAGTACAGCCGTCCAGACAATAGCCTAGAGTGCTCGAACGGCTGACTAGAGTGGTACCGGGCTCGAAACAAGTATTTATTATACATTCACATTTCCACTGACTGTGCTTTAAACCGTACATCTTTAAAAGCTGGAGTGAGTCCGGAAAGCAAGAGCGACCTTCGTAAATGCACGACAGAACTGACCGTTCACGCGCTCAGACAGATGTGTGGTTGCCTTCACGAACATCTGCTCCTCTATTCTGCATTAGCAGTTTTTGTCCCAGTAAATATAAACTGAGATTGTAGCACTTACCTTTCTGTCGCTTTCACCATCGGCTATGGCGACGCACAGCAGCATCGCCGCGACTTCTCACGTAGGTGAACACACTGGGGACGAAGTCAGGATGGTTCTTGAACTTTGACGGCCGTCCTGCAGTAAACGTGATTTCTGATTGCACAAACCAAGTTATAAGCACTTAAAATTACCGTACCTGTTATGAAATGCGCGCTGCAGATCCGAGAATGTTTGTTGGGCGCCCACGGCGAACCGTCGGCATTCTGTCTCCTCACAGCAGCTAGCCAAGCATCTCTTTTTTCGGCACGTAGCCTCGCGGACGGGAACCTGTAGAAATGCGTGCTTCCTTTCTGAGTAAAATAATTCGTGCAGCTGTAGGCCACACAGTGCGCTGGCATTTCTGTACGCTGCTAAAGCGAGGCGACTTAGTTCAGTGACGGCACAGAGATGCACGAGTGACGGCCGGCCCGGCTCGTGTTTTCCAACCAAAACCAAAGCGCCCATAGAGGGCGCCAGCTGCACCGTTACCGCGCATGCGCAGAAGCTTTTCCGCAAATGGTCAATTGATGGCCAAAGAGCGCCATTTCAATAGACTACAGATATGAACAATGTAATGGTGGGTGGCTGTAAAGGGGCCTTAAAATTCCTCGCTCTAACGCGGGTTAAAATATGAAAGTAATAAAATCATGACAGTGGCGTGATATATGTGTGGTGATAGCTGATGGCAAAATGTCATGATAATAAAACCATGATGAAGATGTAGTCACCGCAGCCGCGAACACTCTATAGAGGTCGTGCTACGGATGACCTCGAAATATCGGCTGAGAGCTTTCCACATCTTTTAAAAACATAAAAAGTGTTTGCAGTTTAAAGAGCGGATCCCTACCGATGAGCATCCAAAGGGTGTAGAGGGGGCTGCTGTCGGTAGGGCAGTAAAAAGTGCTTTTTTTTAGAGCATCTAGCTCATTGCACTGGACGAGAATGTGGAGAACCGTAAGGGGCTCTCCACATCTCTCACAATATGATGGATCCCCGGTAGACAAAAGAAATAAATGTGTAGAATGTGTGTGTCCTGTTCTAAGCCTTGTTAGTATTACTTCTGTGTCGTGATTTTGATAGTGGCGGCCAATAACCTAGTTGCGGCTTAATAACATGGAGTTTATTATCTGTGTGTTTATCCCACAAGCTCTGCCAATACCCCCTGAGCTTTCGTTTTATAAAAGGTTTTAAGTCAAGTGCAGGGACTGGCGTTGATGCATTGGCAGTAGTGACATTGGCGCAAGCAGCCAGATTGTCGGCCAACACGTTCCCTTGTATTTCACGGTGCCCTGGAACCCAGCAGACAACGACATGCTGTTTTGATGTGTAGAGTGTGCACAGAAGTAAGTAGAGTGACACCAGCACGGGGTTCTTGTGTTTTTTAGGAGTTTTCAGGGCTTTGAACACGCTTAGGGAATCTGTGTATATTACCGCATTTTGTAATTTTATCTGTTTAATGTGTTTAACGACCGCCAGAATTGCGTAAGCTTCTCCTGTGAAAATGCTTGCATTAGGATGAAGAACGCCGGCCTCGGAAAAGGATTGGCCTACCGCTGAATATGACACAGAAGTGTTTGACTTTGACGCATCAGTAAAGAACTCAGGGCATGTGTATTTATGTTGTAGTTCTAAAAAGTATGTATGTATGTGTGCAAGTGGTGCGTGCTTTGTGACATCAACAAAAGAAACATCACAGTCTATAAGCTGCCACTGCCACGGTGGCAGATATGTTGCAGGAGCCATCAAACTGGGTTCAAGAAGAGGCACACCTGTTTCTTCGGCCAGGCTCCTTACACGCAGCCCGTAGGGCTGCCTAAACGAAGGACGGTTCTCGAACAAGCCAGAACAAGACAAATCATTAATTGTGAAATTGAAAGGATGTTTCTTGTCTGCCTTCACCTGACAAAAGTACAAAAAGGACAAGGAACATCTTTGTAGATGGAGCGACCATTCATTCGAATCTATGTACAGGCTCTCCACAGGGCTGGTGCGGAAAGCACCCGTAGAGAGGCGAATGCCTAGATGGTGGACAGGGTCGAGAATTTTCAAGGCTGATGGTGTTGCCGACTGATAGATTATAGCACCGTAATGTAGGCGTGTGCGTACGAGGCTTTTATATAGGTTAATTAAACATTTCCTGTCACTACCCCATGTAGTGTGTGACAACACTTTCAAAATGTTCATTGTCTTTAAGCACCTGTCCCTTAAATACTAGATGTGTGGGATGAAGGTTAGCTTAGTGTCTAATATGAGACCAAGAAACTTGTGCTCGGTCTTCACTGACAGAGGTTGACCATGCAGGTCAATGTCGGGATCAAGATGGAGGCCCCTCTTTCGGCTGAACAAGACACAAGTGCTCTTTTGCGAGTTGAGTATAAAGCCATTCTCGTTTGCCCATTGAGATACCTTGTTCAACCCTAGTTGAACTTGACGTTGGCACATTGAGATGTTGCACGATTTGTAACCATTCTGCACATCATCGACTTATATGCAGTAAAAAATATTTCATGGGAGAGACAGGTGCAAGGAATTCATTTGAACTATGAAAAGTGTCCAGCTCAATACACCTCCTTGTGGCACTCCTGTTTCTTAGACAAATACTCGAGATAAGACAGTGCCAACTTGGACACGGAATGTACGGTTGGACAGGTAGCTTTCGATAACTGTCAGCTTTCTACCCCGCAGACCTAAATGTGACAGGTCTCGCAATATGCCGAAGCGCCATGCAGTGTCATATGCCTTTTCCATATCGAGGAACACAGAAAGAAAAAATTGCTTATGAACAAAAGCGTCGCGAATTTGTGCTTCGATACGGACAAGGTGGTCAGTGGTGGACCGAGCGTCTCGAAACCCACACTGGTATGGGTCAAGTAGGCCACTAATTTCAAGAAAGTGCATCAGGCGCCTGTTAATCATTTTTTCAAAGACTTTGCAAATACAGCTGGTTAATGCTATTGGCCTGTAGCTGGAAACTGAGGCCGGGTCCTTGCCTAGTTTTAGGATTGGGATAATGATAGCTTCCTTCCAGGCTGAGGGTAGCTCGCCAGAAGACCATATCGCATTATACAGAGAGAGGAGAGCGTTCTGGGTTTCGGTGGGCAGGTGTTTTAACATTTCATATGCCACACGGTCCGGGCCTGGGGCAGATTTATTGCAGCAGGCAAGTGAGGCCTGCAGTTCAACCAAACAGAAAGGTTCGTTGTATGCCTCATGTGTTCTGGGCTTGCGCTCTAATCTCTGTTTTTCTATTGCGGTTTTGTATCGTCGGAACGCTTCACTATAGTGTGTTGAGCTGGAGACCTGTTCAAAGTGCGCTCCGAGTGTGTTTGCCTGGTCTTCCAAACTCTCCTCTTGTGTGTTCACTAGAGGAGCGAATGTGCTCCTCGTCCTGCCACCCTACCAACCATGCCCCAGACTCTCGACTCATCTGTGTATGAGTTAATGCCCGATACAAATTTGTGCCAACTTTCTCTTCTCGCCTGTCGGCGCGTCCTCATTGCTTGCGACTTGACGTTCTTAAAGTTTACAAGATTCTCGGCTGTGAGCGAGTCGCTAAGCAACCTCCTTGCCTTATTTTGTTTTTTTCGAGCATCACGGCACTCATTATTCCACCATGGTACTCGTCGTTTGCTTGACGGTACACATGTTTGGGGAATACATTTTGTTGCTGCATCAACCAGGAAAGCTGTAAAGTAGCATACAGCATCCTCTATGCTCAATGCCGCCATGTCAGTCCAAGATAATAAAGTCATTTTTTGAAACATTTCCCAATCAGCTTTGTCGGTGAGCCATTTGGGAACTTCTGCAGGACATGTATTTGTTATTGATGTGCTGATAAGGATAGGAAAATGGTCACTACCATATGGATCATTAATGACTTCCCATTTAAGTAGAGGCAGGAGTGATGGGGATATTACGCTGAGATCTATTGCTGAGTACGTATTGTTAGCGATGTTGTAATATGTTGGCTCTTTCCGATTCAGCAGACACGCACCAGAAGAAAAAAGGAGCTGTTCAATCAGGCGACCTCGAGCATCGCAGCGAGAGTCACCCCATAGATTGCTATGTGCATTGAAATCTCCAAGGAGGATATAAGGTTCTGGAAGTTCCTCTATGAGGGACTCGAATTCATGCTTTTCAAGATGGTGTGGTGGAGGTA